AGGGGACAAGAGCCCCCCGGGATCGGCGGCGTCCAAACGGGCGCGGACGGCCTACACGAGCGCGCAGCTGGTGGAGCTGGAGAAGGAGTTCCACTTCAACCGCTACCTGTGCCGGCCGCGCCGCGTGGAGATGGCCAACCTGCTGAACCTCAGCGAGCGGCAGATCAAGATCTGGTTCCAGAACCGGCGCATGAAGTACAAGAAGGACCAGAAGGCCAAGGGCCTGGCCTCGTCATCGGGGGGCCCCTCCCCCGCCGGCAGCCCCCCGCAGCCCATGCAGTCCACGGCCGGCTTCATGAACGCCTTACACTCCATGACCCCCAGCTACGAGAGCCCGTCCCCGCCCACCTTCGGCAAAGCCCACCAGAATGCCTACGCGCTGTCCTCCAACTACCAGCCCCCTCTCAAAGGCTGCGGCGCCCCGCAGAAATACCCCCCCACACCGGCGCCCGATTACGAGCCCCACGTCCTCCAAGCCAACGGGGGCGCCTACGGGACGCCCACCATGCAGGGTAGCCCGGTGTACGTGGGCGGGGGCGGCTACGCGGATCCGCTGCCGCCCCCTGCCGGCCCCTCCCTCTACGGCCTCAACCACCTTTCCCACCACCCCTCGGGGAACCTGGACTACAACGGGGCGCCCCCTATGGCCCCCAGCCAGCACCACGGACCCTGCGACCCTCACCCCACCTACACAGACCTCTCCTCTCACCACGCGCCTCCTCCTCAGGGTAGAATCCAAGAAGCGCCCAAGTTAACACACCTGTGATGGGAGAGGGAGGGCGGGCAGGTGAGGTCAAGGGCTGAGGGAGAGCCTGAAACGGCAGCCTGGAGGCCTGAGGGAAGAGCCCGGGACGTGGTACCCAAGCTTCCTGGGAAGAACGGGCCCCGAGCTCCTTCCCTTCTTGGCCGGAGAGGTTGCTTTTTAAAATCTTCCAGCCCTTGTTCTATCTGCCTGCCTACCCACTGGAAAGGAATCCACAGCAGATTGGAGATGGTCCCCATCAACCCTAGGCCTCCAGCAATAACCAGTTGGTATTCTACGCTTGGGAGTGGGGTAGAAGAAGGAGGAAATAGGTAAACAAGGCAGAGAAGCACATTTTAAAAATACAGACGAGATGGCTAGGCCATCACCAACCAACTTACCTTTAGTTTCTGTGGGTAATTCCCCCAAATCTTGATTTTTTTCTCCCCCCTTGCAATTCTCCTTTAAAAAGAATTAGAAAACATTTCAAAACCAGGGGCACCAAGCACGCTTCCCCTCCACTTCCCCAATGCCTCAAATTTCCTCCCATCTATTTGAGGTTAGTTGGGCACTCCCTTTCCAGCCCCATATTTTTCTGCTCTAGGACATCAATATCTATACTCCGACCCTATCAATTACAGTTTTCAGAGGGCTCAGGGATGGTGAGAGATCTTGAAAGTCAGAGCTGTCTATATTATAAAAATATATATTTTTTCTTTTATGGAAAAGCTGGGAGGTGAGGGCAGGCAAATTGTCAGGACTGAAGGTTTGCCCATTCTGCTGGCTCCCACCCATCTCAGCTCCAGGTCCATCCCCCTCTTTCCACAAAAAGCAATCGGAGACACGAGGTTCTTCTACACTTTTCTTCTGTTGCTCTCTTGACTTAACGTGAAAACAGGGTATATTTTAACAAACTGTCTGTCCCAGGCAGGGGCTGCAGCTGGGCCTGTGTGCCTCGCTCAACCCCCTGACAGGACACTTTTGTTGCACTTAGAGTTTACATTTTAATGGATATAAAAACAACTGTGAGAGATGCCTGGGCCTGCAGGAGTCCAGCGTCGCTCAAAAAGTGTGTGTTCTAGTGAACATTTTCATATATATTTATTGGTCATAGCCTGTTAAAATATTTTCTTTTTTGTATTATTTATCCCCTTACATTATGTATTTATATGAGGGAAAAAAGAAAAAAACTGTACTTTTTTTAGTATTTACTTGTTATAAAGGACGTGTTTCCTGTCATGTAAAACCAGCTATTTTAGTTATTATTGTACTCTAGAAAAGAGCTGTAGATTTATGTTAAACTCGTACTTATGAGCAATTGTAATTAGTTCTAAAAGGCATGAACTCAGCTCCTAATTGTCATTGTATAGTCCTGAATTTGTAGAATTAGAGTTAATTCCCTCTTGGAATTTTCTTTGTTCTTCCGTGGTTACTTTTTTCCTTACTTAAAAGGGTTGTCTGTCAAACAATTCTTGAATAAACTTTCTGTTATCAATTTTATCTTGTCCTGGTGGTCCAATTTAGATAGCAGAGGGAGGCTGCTGACTGCCAAATTTCTCTCAAGGGACTAAGGACACGGGAGACCCTATCTTGGCCTTTTTGTCCACTGCTCAGGCGTCTACCTTCCCTCCCTGCCTCTCATGTTTGTATAGCTTTTCTCACAGGAGCCTAGGACATCCTGCCAAATCCTTTAGCTAAGATTTAAGAAACAAGCTGAGAGGAAGGAGGACTCTTGGGTGCTCTCCCTAGATCTTTCTGTTTGGCTTCTTTGCTTTTCCATTTTTCTCATTCCTTGACCTTTTGTCTTCTCACTCCTTTGGCCACAACTTCCTTGCCCAGCCACCCCCCCTCCCCGCCCCAGCAACAACAACAACAACAAAAATCCGCAGATTACAGCTCCTTCCAGGCAACCTAAACTTCACAGTTCTCTTCCGGAGCTACAAAGAAGTCGTCACGTGACCAGAAGCCCAACCACCATTGGGTCTAAAATGAAAACAAAGGAAAATGATTAATCTAAAAAAAAAAAAAAAATCTAGGGCCTGGACTTCTCAGGTCAAACCTTAAAACTAAAGTGAAATTAAATTACTAAATAAATCTGGGGGCGGAGGGAAAGGCACCTTTGATTTCCCCTGCCAGGGAAAGGGGAGAGGAGGAGGGTGGAAGAAGCTGTTGGATCCAAGAGTAAATAAAATGGTCCCCAGGCTAATGTGCGGCTCTGTTTCCACGATCCTTGGGAAAACTTCATTTCTTAGTCGTGGTTCCATAAAAGTTTTATCACATTGGAGTGAGGATAGAGAGGGTCTGTCAAAGATGAAATGTCACCGCTGCGTCGCTGGAGTCGATAAGAGCGAGGAGACAGGGCGGCTGAAATATGGAGCTAATTCGTTGAAAGGGAAGCGATGGCTGCTTGCTGAAGAGTTGCATAATTCTAATTGTAAGCGATGCGCCCGCATTGCTTAATTAGGAGCATATATTTGGTGGAAGTGATGGGGGGGGGTGTCGGTGAGAATCTTTTCAGGCCCTTAGCCTTAAAGAGAGGGCTGATTTTCATTTTTATGTTGCATCCTGGCAGTCCAAGGTTAGTAATTACAGTCTTTATGCAACAATAAATAACAATAAAAAAGCAACCTGAGTTCTACACCCCCACCCCCCAGTAGGATTTTAACTGGACTCGGTTCATCCAAGCAGCAAGCAATTTAGCATTGGGTCAGGCTATAATTTAAAGGCATAAGAGCGTGCAAAGTTTGATTGAGATCAAATAACGCTCAAGGGTTTTTCTTTCTCTCTTCCTCTTCCCTGAATAACATTTTCTGAATGATGTAACTAGATGAAGCGCCATGTTTGGCTCTGGGGGTGCAGTGGATTGATTATTTAGAAGGAGAGAGGTAGACCAAGAGAGAGAATTTAGCTCGAGTTTGAAAAACAGAGCTCTGGCTTAACGCTGGATAGCAAACAAGAAAAATAAGGGCCGACTTAGCTTGGTGTCCCCACCCTTTTTTCTGCGAGATTCCAGTGCAAGCTCAGCAGCCAAAGTCATGGGGAAAATATCTGTGCTGTAAGATTCACAGCACAACAGGGGGCGGGGAAGCCGTGTCTCTGGGAAGGAGGGCTCTCTTGGCCCCTTTTAACACCCAAGTTTTCTGCTGTTCTCTAATCTGGCAGTAAAATCTGTCAGCAGGGTTAGGGAGAGCCGTATTTCCTGCAGGGACAGTCTTGGCTGGCGGTTGCCGGAGAAGCCCTCGACCCTGCAAGCCAGCTCGAGAGCCTGTGAAAAACCTTTCAGGACTTCTCAAGGGGGTAGCCGAGAGAAAATCTGCTTTCAGGCCTGACTGCCCAACTTCCAGATCTGCAACCACTACTTGGATTCTTCTGTGCCCCCACCCCACCCCATCCACACCTCCAAATGGTGAATTTTGCTTTCTTTGGAGCTGAGTGGGCATAACCATCTCTGGCCAGTTTGTCCAGTTCACAGTTCTCTCTGAGCCTTCCAGAGCTTGCCAGAGTCCGCCACCCCCTATCCCTGCAGCCCCCACCTCCAACTGGCTCTCCTCCAGCCCCACCCTTCCATGCAGACATCTCTGTCCTTTTTAAATACTCACCACCACCCACGCGGCTGTTACATTGACAGAAAGTTTCTAGTTCCAGCTCCCGGCTGAGTTGCCATTTCTCTGCTAACCAGCCTTCTCCTTCTTGCTGGGCAGCTCAGAGCCAGGAGGGGGAGGGGAGGCCAGAGCCGTGGGAGTTCTCCAGACAAACTTTCCACCCAACTCAGCGGCCTTCCCTCTGTCCCCATTACCCATCTGTTTCCCCCGATCTCCCAGAATCACCTTTCTCTTGTGCTAACACCACCCACCCCCAGGCCTTTTAAAGGGATGTGGAATTTCGGCTGTTCCCTATGCTTTCCCAAAGAGCCAAATTCTTTGATGCCAAACGAGGGAGCTGTCAGGGGGCTAAGATTGATCGCCTCATCTCCTCTCCGTCCCTCTGACCCACTTATTTAAAAATCTTCCCCCAGATCGACTTTTCATTTTCTGCTTTGAGATCTGGTTTACCACCAATTGCTTTGGGGCCCTAAGTCTTGTGCCCCCTCCCTCCAATAAATTACAGCACTCCCTAAAGTTCAGACTATCTCAAGCCCTTTAAAATAAATAACAAACAAAAATTCCCTCTGTGGCCAGAAAAGGAATATCATCTCAGTGGTCATTATTTCCACCCCCTCCATGTTCAGGGAATTCTTTCTTGACAGTGATTTTTTGTTTGTTTTTTACTAGCATAATGACAAAAATGAAAGGGGGCATCTCTTTGTCCTAGGGGAGAAAATCCCCCCCCCCCATATGGACCTGAGTTTTGAGAGTGCTCTAAGTTAAATAAATCAGTGGCTACCTTGGTTCTTGTTCCTGGGTATAGATACAGATACAGGCTTGAGGCTTGAGTAGGTGCTATGCATTTTAGATCTTGACTGTTGAGGGGGCGTGTCATAGAGGAGTGCAGATGCTTCCAGGTGAGGAAGGCAGGTGGACATAGGGGCAGGGGCAATGCTGCAAACACCCGGCAGAAAGGGAGCTGAGACCACACAACTATGGAGGCCAGAGGCCCAAAAGGGCCCCTCACCATCTATCTCACTCCTCTGTGTCAGCCTGGGAGTGCCTGTCGATTTTCCAAGATTTATCTGTTGCTTTTGGAGGGTGGGATGGGGATAGTGGTGCTGATGATTGTAAATCTCTTGTCTTCTTTATTGCACCTTAACACTGACTTTTCCCAACGGGTTGGGGGGAAGCCTCTTTCAACTACCTCTTCCTGTCACTTTCAGATCCTCACCCAACCTTCTTTTTGGCGGGGATGGGGAGGAGTGTGGGGAACACTGCTGGCCATGTACAGAAAGCAATGTACTCTATTAAAATATTTAGAAAAGAGGAAAATCTCTCCCTTAGATTCTCTTGTTTTCCAGGCTTCTGGAGCCTCTCATCCTCTGAAAGAGATGAGGGAAAGGTTCCCTAGTTTTTCTGGAGAAAGGGAGGCTTTGGGGATAGGGAGTGAAGGACTGGGGGGCTCACGGTGTCCAGGTCGGGGGTCCTCTAGAGTTTTTGAATCAATTAAAGCAAATAATGCTCTCTGTTTTCCACCAGGCCCAGACGAGCGATTGGCCGAGTCTGGTCCCGTGACCACGAATTCCCTGCAATTTCGCCGGAGTCCTGGGTTTAATAGAGAGAGTCCCCATACGCTTGTATTTATCAGCAATATACAATTATAAAGGCCTCAAATTAAAAAAAAAAAAAAGAGAGAGAGAGAGAGACAGCGAAATCTCCCCCTCCCAAAATCGCTCCATCACATAAACCTGGGGGGGGCAGGAGGGGGGGTCCCTTCCGATCCTCCCTCCTGACGCCCCCCCCAGCAGGCCCCCTCCCCCACCATTGAAAGCCATGAATTTTGAATTTGAGAGGGAGATTGGGTTTATAAACAGCCAGCCATCGCTCGCCGAGTGTCTGACTTCCTTCCCCGCTGTCTTGGAGACATTTCAAACTTCATCAATCAAGGAGTCGACGTTAATTCCTCCTCCTCCTTTCGAGCAAACCTGCCCCAGCCTCCAGCCCGGCGCCTCCACCCTTCAGAGACCCGGGAGCCAAAAGCGAGCCGAAGATGGGCCCGCGCCGCCGCCGCCGCCGCCGCTCCCCGCCGCCCCCCTGGCCCCCGAG